CTACCACTCCTAACCTAACTGAATTATTGAAATATTTTGATGAGGAATTATTTATTGGACTAAATTCAATCCCTTTTAATGAAACTGAACAATTTAGGTTTGAACGAAAAATTGAAAAACAAGAACTCACCACCGCTCAGTTATTTGCTTTCAAACTTAAAAGAGATGTTTATCGGGCGATTACCGATGAAGTTTTTAAAGTTGAACCAATAAGCAACCACGCTGTAATGCTGAGAAATAATGAAATTAGAAAGTGATTAGAAGATTATGTTACTTATAATAGAAATGAGATGGAAATTAATCATGATTTAGAAAAGTTTATTAGTCAAGCTTGACAAAATTTTTACTTTCGACTTCAGATAGAGTGTTATGAAAATTATATTTACCGATTCATTGATAACAAAACAGCATTCGATTATCGAGATGCAACAAATGATAAAGATTTTAAGTTGTTAGAAGTCTCCGAAGCGTTTCATGAAAAAATAGATAATTATCCAGATGATACCAAAATTTTGAATTTTTGACCGGCAACTTTCACTGATGTTGCTGACCCCGAATATCGACAATTACTGGTGCGAGGCAAAACAAGTGTACCGCATTTAAAAGATAATCTTTGTTGGGGAGAACCTATTCTATTTTACAATAATAAAGAACCTTATTATGAATTTACTAATTTTTATTCTCTAGAAAATCCAATTAAATCAGCTTGACCAATAGGTTTCAATGAGAAAGGTGAGGTTATACTAGAAGGAGAAAAGGTAGAATGAAAAACTTCTGAACATCTTTTCCAAGCTTGTAAATTTGCCGGAAATAAAAAAAACATGAACGAGATTCGAGAAAAAAATACTGCTGGCGAAGTTTTTGCCCTTGCTCATAAATATGATCAGAGTTTAGTTATTCCTAATTGAAGAGAAGGTTTAAATATTAAGGCAATGGAATTTGTGTTAAGAGAAAAATTTAGAGATAAGAAATTACGAGAAAAACTTTTGGATACTGGTAGACTACCCCTGGTAGAGGATTCTCCCACTGATACTTTTTGAGGAGTGGGAACCGATAAAAAAGGAAGAAATGAGTTGGGGAGAGCATTAATGAGATTAAGGACTTATTTGTTTAATTTTTTGAAGAGTTTTAATCATGGAATGTATATCATTGTCGATACCCCTC